GTCTCTACTGTCTATGTTTTTATTTAATAAAATATCTTTAAGTCGATTATGCTGCACTCTGTCAAATGCCTTCTCAAAAATCAATGAAACAGGCATATACTTCCTGATTAATATCTTAGCATCTCTGCGAAAGAACACTTACTGCAAACGTGTGCATCTCGTGTTCCCAGTCCTTCCTAAATCTCATTTGTGTATCACTTATGCCTTCATCTAATTTCTTATGTATTCTATTGTGAATTACTTTTAAAAACAATTTCAAGACATGACTCATTAAGGCTATGGTGCGATGTTCATTGCACTCCTTTGCATTGGCTTTTTTGGGAAGCAGTATGAATGTTGATTTGAGCCATTCTTTAGGTATTATACCTGTTCTATATATGGTATTGAATAGATCCAAAAGAAGATCAATAGATTCAGTATTCACAATTGTAAGTAATTTGATAGGAACTTCATCAGGCCCGGGAGATTTACCACCTTTAGCTTGTTTCATTGCATATTCAATTTCTTCTCGTATAATGTCAGGCCCAGTATCCTCCTTAAATTCTTTTGGTGCTTCTGTTCTCTCGTTGTCTTCAAAAAGTTGTGCTATATATTGTGTCCATCTCTGCATTTTTTGGTTTATATATGGTATAAGTGCACCCCTTTCATCTCGTAGTTGCCTAGTTTGAATGTTTTTCTCATTCCTGTTAATTCTCTAATTCTTTTATGCATGTTAAAAAAGTCATATTTTTTCTCAATTTCTTCTAGTTCTTGGCATTGCTCATGTAACATTGTCTCCTTAGCTTCTTTTATTCTCTTTTTTATTAATCGATCAGTTTCATTATATTTAATTGGATTTTTTGTTTTGAATGATTTTCTTTCATTCATTAATAGTAGTATTTCTTCAGTCATCCAATCTTTATGTTTTCTATTCTTTGGTTTTAAGTTTTCATTTGCTGTTTTAATTATTGCTACTTTTATATTTTCCCATTTCTGATCAATGTTATAGCTACTTTTATTCAGTTCTTGGGCATTACGTAGATTTTCAGTAAGAGTTTTTACAGTTTGTTCCTTTGTTTGTGGTTCCCTTAATCTCTTAATATAAATTCTACTTTGTGTGGGTTTTTTAACCAGTTTTAATTTGGTTCGTAATGTGACTACTATGGGGTTATGGTCTGAACCGATGTCTGCTCCAGGGTAAGTTTTGGCAGACAATATAGAATTACGAAATCTTTGTCTAATAAGGACAAAGTCAATTTGATTTCGGATTATTCTATTCGTTGTATCACCGGGAGATTTCCATGTATACAATCTTCTTTTTGGTAGCGTAGAAAGTGTATTAGCTATTACAAATTCTTCCGTCTGGCAAAATTGTATCAAACGGTCACCATGTTCATTTCTAGACCATATTCCTCCACATATCAATCCACTCTTCCCTGGCCAACTTTGGCATTGAAGTCGCCCATTACTATTGTAGTGTGATGTTTCTTCATTGATTTTAAGACTTTTTCCAAATCATGGTAAAACAGTTCGATATCGTCGTCATCTTTATCTGCCGTAGGAGCAATAAACTTGAATAAAATTTACTATACCTTTTTTAGACGGTAGTTGTATTGATAAGATCCTATCAGAATAAGGAGTAAAACTTATCACAGAGTAATTGACCTTTTTTGCAACTAAGATAGCCACACCATAGCGATGATTGACCTCGTTATTACCTGAATAATACATGGTTCCATTATTTGTAATTTGTTTGCCTGAACCTGGCCACTGTACGTCACTTATACCTAAAACATCAATCTGGAGGTTTTCCATTTCAAGCAGTACGTTCGCTAATTTACCACTTGCATATAAACTTCTGACATTCCAGGTTGCTATTTTCAATGTCTTAAGCCCACAGGGATTTCTCTGGTTTACGACCTGGGAGGCCCTGTGATCTACAGTTATTCCTCCCCTGCCGGATATTGGATTCCGTGCTCCATAATCAGTAAGTTGACTCTACTTGTCATTTGCCATTCATAACTTTACTAGGGGTACTCTAAGAGTCTTTAATGCAGTGGTTCCCCGTTGCCTTCTGCATCCTTACGCCGTTGACATATTTTTCGATTCATCCGCCTTTAGGACCAGTTTCCCAACCCTTGGACAAAAGAGTGCTCTTCCACTTATTAACTCATCCGCTCGCAGCCGTTGGTCATAAGTGGGGGATTGCTTATACTGGCAATCATTCGGTGAATTACCTGTTGGTCCACGGGAGGTATTTTATTTCCCTCCTACCCACCGGTAAACCGGGTCGGGCATTCCCCTATCCGCTACCTGGGGACGCGCTCTCTAGAGGTTACAGGTTCCTCCGAGAGAGGAATTAATAGGAGAGGTCTCCTTAGGAAACTAAGAGGTTATTTAATAAGGAGCCTTGATTACAAGTATGAAGGATTGTGAAGTCTGTTTGTGGATCAAAGATGTGGTTTGTTCGATGGATATGTTGGGAGAAATGTGATTGACCTGATGGTGGACGTTCTATCGTATGGGCATCTTAGATATATAGAACGTCCAACATCAGGTCAATCACATTTCTTCCAACATATCCATCGAACAAACCACATCTTTGATCCACAAACAGACTTCACAATCCTTCATACTTGTAATAAAGGCTCCTTATTAAATAACCTGGAACATTTAGAAATTCTAAAATCATTAAAAAATCACACAGCAGTTACACTAAATGCACAATTGGAACTGGAATACACACCAGTATACTCAGTATTAATATAAAAAATTTTATATAAATAATATTACCTGATCCTACTCCATTTCTTGTTTCTACAGCAAACTTATAGAATTGTTGCCCCAAACATCAACTTATCATAATAGATTTCCATAATATTATCCTTTATCATCACATGTTTTTAAGAAGTAACTTCAATATTATGGTCAAACAACATTTATTCCAGAATCCCAATATATAATCAGATGCATTTGATACACTTATTAGATTATTTAAATCTTCTACATCAAAATTCAAATCTGGTCCCTATGGATTTAGTTCTTTGTTCACAGAATTTCTTTAACATACTACCAGAAACAATATTTTTCCTAAAAACTACATTAAATATCAGTATTGAACTGGTATGGTACCTCAACTTATTTAACCCACAATTATTATTACATTCCATCTGGTTCCGAAATATACTCATCTTACAAAATATTTGATTTCAAACTCAACACGTGGTTTGAGGATTTCCAATATAACATGAAAATCGTTCAGACTAACTGTATTAATTGAATACATCTTTACTATTCACAATCATACACAAATTTACATTTCAAATAGAAATATTAACTTTCATAAACAGCTATTATTTAAAAAATTTTCTCACCATATGACACAAAAAATTGTAATAAGAATAAATTTACTTTACGCCGGTTTAAATAGAGGATCTTTTACCTGTTCGTATAACAATTTCCGGTTCCAACTGTCAGATATTAGAACTCCCAACTAATTATTGAAGGCTTTATAATTCAGTCAATTTCTTGAACCCATAAATTAATTACCATCAATAATTATCCACTTATTACTTTGGTTACATATTAATATATCAGGTATTAATATATTAATATATCAGAATTTGAATTAAATATCTAAATTATTTATAAACACCATGACAGATAACTCACAGCAACAATAATTTCAAATAAAAAATTAAACAAATTTGTAAATTTGTTATACGTTTGATTATAAAATGTACATGTTTAGTTACCAAAGAATCACTTTAATTTGTTCAGTAATTTGGACTAAACTGAGTTAGTTATAATGTGGGATGTATTTCAATTATTCGTATTGTTACATTTAAATTTAATTAATTAAAGATTGTTAAAGTATGCCAATATTAAACACATCAATTTACTTTTGATATCTTAATTGAAACAATTTATAGACATTTATTAATATCAGCATATTTCATAAAACTAGATAACTTAACCTGCAATATTGAGAAACAAAAGAAGAACTGTCACATGCTAACCTACATCTGTCAAATTTACCACTAAAATCTAATAGATAACATAAAAAAACTCATTGCGCCCAAGACTGAGATGTATTGCATAAAAGTCCTTCCCCTTTTAAATTTAATGTTTGTTTCGTCCCTTCTAAGTGTTTTCTGTTTTAGTGTGTTTTAAATTGTCCTTAATTGTTTTAATTGTAATATTTTATTTACTCGACTTTGCAATAATCTACTATTTTGCCAATAGAACTTTATCAAAAAAATTTGATAATTACAAGTTGAAAAATAATTGCACACCCACACAATTTGTACATCTAAACTTATTCATTGTCATAAAACTGTCACCTTCATAAAACAATTACTCAATAAATAACACACATTTCATAAATATATCTCTCGAATAAGTATAAATAACTTTTAAATAATACAATGGTATATAACATCACTTTCATTTAACAAACAATCACACACATATCTCTGCTTCATTGGATCAAATCTATCTCCTCAAGAACTTCCCGTTTACTGTCAAACAACTACAATAGCAGAATTAAGTTCTCCATTCAACAATACATAATAGTTTCAACCATGTACCGGCATGTAAGTAATGTTTATTTATTTGCTCATTTATTATTAATTTATTACAATCTAATATTTTATAACAATTTGTGGGTCTTACCTTGTCTGTTTAAACTTTTAAAACTTTTTATACCTTTTTATTCAATTTACTCATTTTGAAATAAAACCACAGACATGTAATATTGGCATAATTATTGTAATTTATAACATCTAATTTGTTTATCTTTATTAGACAACACCCTAATATGGGTTTTTATCATTTCAGCATTTATTTAACGTTGTATCGAGACCTGAAGATGCTTTGCATATTGTAGAAAGCGAAACCGATAGTCTGATAGTTAAATTAAATTGATTGTGAGTAAGTCTTATTTATTATTTCTTTACCTATATGGTATTTATTAAAATCAGCAGCCCCACAAACATAAATTTATATTTATTACTTTTTAGATCAGTAAAATAGTTAATAGTCGAGATCTGAACGACGAGCTGCCTTTAGAATTAGCATTGAGGTCTCGAAACGAGAGTATAGCAACTACCTTAGTACAACACAATGCTGACGTCAATATACTCGACGGCAATGGAGAAACTTTGCTACACAAGGCGATCAAAAAGGAGGATTTCTTCTCGGCGCAATTTCTGTTAGAACAGGCTAATTGTGATGCTACTTTGTTAACCAGGTAACGAAAATAAATAGTACAGTCACTGAAGGTTTTCACTCCGATTTCGTTGAACCTCCATCGATTTTCATGAAAATTGGTAAGTAGTTCGAGGATACCTTAATAAACAAAAGTGACATGGTGTCAACTTGCGCTTTTACCCTGGGGTGGATGCCACTCCTTCTCGAAGGTGGAAATTATTTTATTAAAAGTTATTAAAATAAATCAATACTTTTTGAGTGATTGAAGATCAAAGGTTTTAATTTTTCGTGAAAAGAATGTATGTTTTAAAGCGGTTTTTCATAAATAACTCAAAAACTATAAGTTTTTATAAAATAGTTGTCATTACCAAAATTGAAGCTAATAAAAAATTGAATAAATTTCTTGCTTGAAAAATCTTTTGATATTAATTCAAAGTGAGTTATAGGTAATTAAATGTTTTTTTTTTTTCGACGAGTACTCAAATCTGAATATTCAAGCTTAAATAACGGGAAAACAATGCATGTTATAAAATATACTTATTGAAGAATTTTCAAAGTACTCAGAAATACCTATAAAATGAGCTCTAGAAGCAGTTGATAGCATCAAAATTAAGCAAGTTATGATAAAAATAAGAGGGCCCTTTCGAATTTTTTTGGAAAAAGTGAAAAATAAAACATACTACGCCATTTCCACAAAAATTAAAGTTTATAGTAATCCCTATAAGACTTTCTTTATTTTAGCATAAGTAATGACCTCAAAAATTTGGACCGGTTTAGAATGCATATTTTTGAAAAAAAAAATTGATTTAAAAAAATCAGAATTTTTCAAATTTTCATAAATTTCATTTTCTTTTGAGAATAACTCCATATATACTCAGTATATGTACTTATACCATATAACCGGGGCCCTTTAACCTTTCATCTTTTAAAAATAAGGGATTTAAAAGATTAAAGATGAAATTACCTTTCAAATGGTTTTTGAATGAATCTGATATCATAAAAATTAACGGAGTTATTGTAAAAAAAATCAATAACATTTTTTTAGAAAAATTTTTGGAGTAGACATGTTGTATGTATATAAATAGGAAAAAAGATAGGTAATAAGAAGTAGGCGTGTCGATAGGCTCACGAAATAGACATGTGTGTGTGTATATTTTGAAGAGAGAATAAGCTAGTTAAAGGAATTCTGTATACAAGTAGTATCTGTTTCTGTAGTATCTGCTCAAAAATATAGTGTGACTTTCTAGTTATGCTGTGTGTCTATTGAATATTTCAGTATATTTCCCAAAGCGAAGTAAAATACACGTGGTACTATTTATTAGTGATTAGCACTTAAAATTTATTTAATTTGTTTTATTAATTTTGTGAAAAATGAAAATATAAGGATGCGGATCATGCAGTGGGGACAATTGCCAAAATAACCGCCCTCCAATTGATGAAAAAGGAGAAATTGGTAAAGAGAGCTCTGATGAAGAGTGAAAAATTAATAATTAAAGTACTATTAATATTTGATTAATTTATGAAACATTACTTAAAAAATGAATGAACTTTTCATATATTTTAATACGTTTTCCTCTTAACTAACAAATAAAATTTTTATTCACATAAGCACTGAAAAAATTGTTCAGGAAATGTAGAAAGAATATTAATAAAGTTTGGAATTTATTAATAAAGTTTATCATGACCAATAAAAAGTTTCTAAATGAATAAAGCTAATAAAAAAATATTTTCCATTATTTTTATGACAAGGGATAGTTTTTAAGGGTGCAAAATTAACCAATAAATAAATAAATACTTTAATACTCAGTAAATGAGATTTTAATTCAGCAATGTATTATACAAATACCTAATTAAAGTTTCCTGAAATTAATTTTTTCAATGATTCTGCTTTAAGGGGGTGGTTTTTAAGGGTTGAAATTTCACAGTCAATCAAAAATTATATGATAAACATTAAAGAAACTATTTGGGTAATATTAATATGCGATTTGATATTACAGAAATACATTAAAGAAACTATTTGGGTAATATTAATATGCGATTTGATATTTCAGAAATATAAAAAATGATTTTTTTATGATTTTCGATTTAAGGGATAGTTGCTAAAAGGGTTGAAAAATTAATTAAAATCATAAATCATGCTTATAAATGTTGCAAAATATTTATTTTATTTAATTAATCGAGATTACTTAAGAATGTTAGAATGCTTAAATCTGCATCTTTTACCATTTTGAACAAAAGGGGTGGATTTCACACCCAAAATGCAAAAAGTGCAAATTGAGCATATGTCATTTTTGAAGTTGAGGGTAAAATATACTCAATTCCAAATTTTCATGCAAATCGATGGAGGTTCACCGAAATCGGAGTAATAGTTGATTTTTACCTTCATTCACTGTACTAAAATGCAAACTTATTATGTATTGTTTGATGAATAATGTAGACGTAGGACGGATAAAATTCGCAATGATCTATTTATGTTTCTTATTTATAAAAATAATAATTAAATATAGCCTTTTTTAATCCTGTATAAATATACGATAGAATACATTTAGTTAGAGATTTTTGCGCTGGTATTTTAATTGACTGTATATTAAATTTTATTTCTTTATTTTTTAGTTATGAATTTGTTAATCAGTATAGAAAGCAATACCATTTAGATTAGATTATATTAAGAGAGGTGGCCTTTCTGCCTATTCCACTGCCACCTTTTCAGATCTATTATGGTCCTCTAGTCCTAGATAACATTCTCTAGCCTGACCCTTTTTATAAAATCTAGTAGCTTCGAGACTACCTTCCATGTAGATATTTGCCGGTAGATTTTCTTCTTCTAATGCAATGAACCGCACATTTACCATACTGCTACACTGACATAAAATGTACTCTGCTGATTCTTCTTCGAGGTGACAGAATCTGCACAGGTCATCATCTGATAATCCCATCAGCTTCAAGTGCCTATTCAGCTTACAGTGTCCTGTTAGAAGACCTACTATGGCTTTGACTGTTTTCCTGTCTTTGCTTATTAGGTCTGCGGTAAATTTTGGCGAATGTTCTGTAATGAACTGTTTCCTTGAAGCCGTTCTTGTTACTGACTTTGCAACGCCGCAGAAGGGTTCCGGTCCAATGAATGGCATTGATAAGCCTTGTTTGGTCATTTCATCTGCTTTTTCATTGCCCTTATGACCCTCGTGCCCCGGTAACCTTGCTTACGGTCTGCTAGTTTATTTAGGGCACACACGCAATCCCATACTAGCTTAAAATTGATTTCTACAGAATTGACTGCCTTAAGCGCTGCCAGACTATCTGTGAAGATAGCAACTGAACAGAACGTTATTTACTGCCTTCATATTTCTTCCACGCAGTGATGGATTGCAGTTATTTCCGCCTGGAAAACTGTCACATTCTTAGATAGACTTCTACTTTTCTGTTAGCAAACATACTTTAGTCTGTCAAAAAGTAACTAACTTGGCAAAAAAATAATTACTAAATTTACTAGAGAGTTGAAACTGGAATTAGCGAACTGACTATATAATACTTATTCAGATTATATAAGAATAACAGAAATTCAAATTTTGTCGAACGTAATCCCTAAAATCTTTAGTAATTTTTTCTCAGAAATATAAATGTAAATTTTTCGTCTGCTGCTGAAGATAACAATTAGATGTGATTTACATCATTTAATTTTTATCAATAGATTTACGTCACATTTAATTTAGACAGTACATAATGTTATTTTAAGAAAATGTAGAAAAAATATAAATATCGCTCTCTAGTAAAGGCATTAAACATTATATAATAACACGAATTACTTTTTGCAAATCCCGAATACCTACCAAATCCAACGAGCCCTCACACACTCAATTCGAATAAAAATTGCATAAGATATAGCTGTATAAGTTCGACAGAATTTCACATATCAGTAAGAAAAAGTCAGCATATTGTATCATTAATTAAGCATTTAGAATTCATATTATTGGTTTCAAATACAGTAACGATAATTTTTCAGAACAGTAATGCATAACCTAACGGAGCAGTGGGTTTCCAAAAAATACTTGTGATTTACGATATATCAAACTATGAAGATATGGATAAAATAGGCACAGTATATTAAAACATAATATTAGGTTAAATTTGAAAACATTTTTGTATATTTGAAATCACACGTATTACATATTAGTACTATGTAATTGAAAAAGGTTGTTTGAAATTGAATATAAAGTTTTAAATACACTTCTCAACAATTGAAGTGGGTATTATGAAAATGTATTATTTTTATATTTTCATAATACATTTTCATAACATGAAATTATTATGAAAATGTAAAATATTACATTTTCATAATAAAAATAAGTTAAAATAAATCTTTATTTACTTCGTATTTTCATACAGATGAACCGAAAGAAAGAAATTCTTTAAGAAAAAAAAATAGAAAATAAACAATAATTGTAAAATTAACAACCTAAAATTTCTATTCCTGCTCAATTTCTAATATCCCGAAAAGAAAAATTAATAGTGTGTGGATCTACTTCGTATTTTCATACAGATAAACCTAAAGAAAGAAATTCTTTAAGACAAAAAAATTGGAAATAAACAAGAATTGTAAAATTAACAACCTAAAATTTCTATTCCTGCTTAATTTCTAATATCCCGAAAAGAAAAATTAATAGTGTGTGGATCCACCTCTGTATCACCTTAGTACTCTAACTCTATTTGGAAGATCTTTTATTAAATTATTGATGAACTGCTGCGGTATACGTTCCCAAATCTCGCGTAATGTATTGGTCAACTGATCTAGGATTTGGGGCGGTTGAAGGAGCCTGTTTTGTTGTCTAGACATTTCGGCCCAAACATGTTTAATGCAATTCATATCAGGTGAACATGGTGGCCACTCCATTCTTGTAATGAAATGAGCTTCTATACACTCGTTGACAATTCTCGCACGGTGAGGGCGAGCCTTATCATCAATCAGAACAAATTGTTCTCCTATTGCACCAAAAAATGGAACAACTATTGGTACTATGACTCTGTCTCGATATCGTGTAGCAGTCATTGTCTCATTAATTAAGACGACTAAGTCCGAGCGACCGTCAAAACATATGCCTCCCCACATTCAAACGGATCCACCTCCAAAAAGAATGGTTGGGACTCTCAGATTTTCATTGTAACGCTGCCCTCTTTCCATCCACATCAATATTCGGCCATCTTTCGTTTACAAACAAAATCTGGAGTCGTCGGTAAAGAGACAATTCCTTCAATTTTCGAAATTCCACTGATAGTGTTCCATCGCCCAGCGATATCTGTCGCCGTCTAGCCCTTAAATTGGATGCATTTAACAGTCTTCTGACAGTTTGACTGGAAATCGCTCGTCCAGTAGCATGCCTAAAGATACTGTTAATTCTGGAAGCCGTGAATGTTGGGTTTCTTCTTGCCGTCAGAACTACAAAACGGTCTTGCCGACGTGTTGTAGATCGTTCTCTTCCTCCTCCATGCCTGTATGTTGCAGATCCAGTTGCTACATACCGATTCCATGCACGACTTATCACACTTTGTGACACATTTAGCCTCATAGCAACCTCTTGTTGAGTTATGCCTTGTTGGATCCACCGAACTAATTGCTCGAGCTGCACTAGTTCTAAACGTCTTTGCGGCATAATGTTTTGGTGATAAATAGATTTCTTGACAACTGGTAAAGCCAATACAAGTACTTTTATACGAATGATTATTCATGTTTGGAACAACATTTCTCTCTTTGTACGAGATAAGGGCCGATAAGAATAGGGAGAAAAAAACCACATGCAAAAATATTGGCAATAAAGATAGCATATAGAGTATAGTACAGACAATTATTTTAAAAATAGTTCTATATGTTAATTTTAGGAATTTTAAAATTATCCACTTCAATTGTTGAGTAGTGTAGTAGATACAGGAAACATTTGTGAGTGCATCATATCATAATGTTAGGTATATTGTATCATGTTCATCTATATATCACCTATGAATATCTTTATTTACAGAAATGGCAATGATTCAGCTCTGCACCTTATCGCTGGGACTGCTGACGTCGAAAACTCCGTAAACATAGCCCAAAGACTTATAAATAAAAATATCAATATAAATTCCCAAAATTCACATGGCTTGTAAGTATGTTTTAGCATAAATTAACAGGTTTGAAATTTTATTTCTCTTACCATTGAACAATAAATCAGACATTTCGGGAGCTTTCAATGACGTCTAAAACATTCTAGTTTTTTAATACTTTTTCTTTTTCAAGGGACTTTTTCTATATGAAATAAATGTTACGGAACTGTCGTAGTAATACATTTCATGACAGTTATTGAAACTTTGATATCGCTGTGACTCGCACAAAATCTAGGAATTGTAAGAAGATTCTAGAAGCGTTTTGAAATTATGAGGACTCAACATAACATAGTAGTAGTTTATTTGAAGGTGACTTGGTGTCACGTTAGTGTTTTTGAAAAGAGTTAAGCTGTATAAAAGTTTTGATTTCGAATCCCATACTGTTTTTGAACAAACATACATATAGATAGAAAAACGTACCAAATGAATCCGATGACAAGGCATCCAATCCGCCCTTGCACGGGCGGTGCAAAGGGGAAATTTCCCCCCAAGAAGGTCCAAAATTAAAGAAAACTTATTATTTATGTCTTTTATGTAGTTTGGGTTGTCTTTTTTTTATTTTGCTGGGTGTTTCATTGGAAGTTTCCCCTCAAAGTTGGAAGTTTCCCCCCAAAGCAAATGTCTAAATCCGCCACTAGCACCAAGCTTCCATATTATCTACGCTACAACATCTTATGATCCAAGGTGCTATCACCATATATTTTGTTTTTTCCTCATTTCCCATACCATCAAAAACTTCTTTTAATAATTCGGCGTGTCTTCTTGTGATTAAGAAAAGATCATCCATACGTAATTTCTGTAAAGATATATTGAACCTTCAGTATAGATTTTGCTTTCTCGTAAAATTTTCTCTTAGATTAAAGTGATAAAATAGTTGATGAGTCAGTCGTAGACCTCCATTAATATAAAACTGCTCGAGACATGCCCCTCTCACATAACTTTTAGAAATATTCTCGTTCTTCAAAAAGTTTTTATGGTATAGTATTTTATACCATAGAGACAAGACACTCGAAAATACAACCAAGAACAAATCGAACATACCATTGAGAACAATAGAAGTATTGAGATAAAGACTAAGAACGGGGACAAGCAGATAATAAAGATTAAAGATAGAAATGGTCATCTTACAACCAACAGAGAGGAAACCCTTAAAATAGTTGAAAACTTCTACAAATTGCTGTACACAAGTAAACACAAAGCAAATAGCAGAGAAGATCAAGTACCAGAAATATTTACAAAGAAAAAGGGCATTGTCAACCAAGGATCAGAACTACTACCGGAAATCACAATTGACGAAATTAAACTAGCCCTAAGAAAAGCTAAGAATAACACAAATTTCCAGGTGAAGATTGTGTAGTTACTAATGCAATCAAAATCGGAGGCACTTGCCTACTTAAGAAAATAAAAAACCTTTTTAACATGTGCCTTTTGGACAGTAATATACCCGACAAATGGCACAATGCTGAGGTAATTCTATTGTATAAAAAAGGAGATCCCCATGAATTAGAAAACTACAGACCTATAAGTCTTCTTAGTCACCTACACAAACTCTTTACAAGAATAGTAACGAATCGTCTTCAGAAAAAACTTGATTCCTATCAGCCAATAGAGCGGGATTTCGTACCGGATTTGGAACAAATGATCACCTACAGAGCATTAAAACGGTAATAGAAAAGACTATCGAATACAATCGACCACTCGTTCTGGCTCATGTAGATTTCCATAAAGCCTTTGACACGGTAGAATTTGACAAAATCCTGGAAGCCCTACAAGCATGCCGCATTGACTACCGATATACAAGGTTAATTTACAATACATACAAGAACGCAACTATGTCGGTGAAACTACATGAAAACACGGATCACATCCCAATCGGCAGAGGAGTCCGACAGGGTGATACCTTATCGCCTAAACTGTTTACCGCAGTACTAGAATATGCTTGTAAAAAACTTAACTGGGAAGAGAAAGGCCTGAACATTGATGGTAGAAGATTAACAAATTTGAAATTCGCAGACGAAATAGTTTTGTTCTCGGACAACCTCAAGGAGATATATATGTACAATGCTACATTAACTTCAGTTAGTGTGTGCCAGTGTGGGTCTTAAAATAAACATCTCCAAAACAAAATTCATGACAAACCTAGTACCTACGGAAATATCAATATTGGAGACAACGAAGTAGAGCTGGTGGAAAAATACATATATCTTGGACACGAAATAAAGGTCACAAGAGACAACCAAACGTGCGAACTACGAAGAAGAATAAACCTAGCATGGGTAGCCTGTGAAAAAATCATTAAAAGCGATATACCAATTTCTTTAAAACTTAAAACATTTGACCAATGTGTGTTGCCTGTGATGCCCTATGGTGCCGAAACTTTGACATTGATAGCTACAAGTTCTAAAACGCTGCAAATAGCTCAGAGTTAGAAATGAAGACTTAAGACGAAGAACAGGAGTTACCGATGTAATTTCTCGAATTGACACACTGAAATGGAACTGGGCCGGACACGTCGCCCGAATCAGTGATGAAAGGTGGACGAAGAGATTTCTTGAGGGTTAGGTCGAGGTTAGACAGAAGAAGTAGACAAAGACCGGAAGACCCCCTACTTGTTGGACTGACGATCTCAAGAAAATAATCAAGAAATTGGATGAAAAGTGCTCAAGACAGCACAATGGACAAAAATGAGGGAGGTCTATGTCCAACAGTGGACGCAGAGGGCTGGGTGATGATGATGATGGTTTTATACGATAGTATTTATTTAAATTCTAGTTTTTATAGTACCATACGCCTGTCGGAAATCGATAAACATGTTTAATTTTAAATTGAGCTATATAAGATTTGTTTCGTAGTAAAAATTTGTTCTATTACTAATCTATTTGTTCTCAAGCCTTCTTGATATTCGCCCAGATTATTATCAAATTTGATTTTAATTTTGTTTGTTATCGATATGATATGTAAAGCTATAGCTTTTACATTCTACATATCTTCTTTTTTTCTGTATTGGGGATGAGTTTCCGTCCACTACTTATGTGCTGCTTTGACCATACTTCATGTATCAACTATTTCCTGTTGCAGCCTTTCGTCACCTTCTTTTAGAAACTTTTAAAAAAGATACCGTTTTCGCCAGGTTCCTGTTGTTTTTCAAGTTTTTTGTTATAGTTATAATTTCTTCCTTGGTTCGAAGTATAGAGAGGACGCTGTTGTAGTTGTTATACTATAGATGCTTCTGTCAATGCTTTATGCGTGGAATGACTAGCTTTAAATCCAAGTTGGAAATTGGGAAAGATGTAGAACCTCTCTAGATGTTCTACGAGTCTTTCCTTAAGGATTCTTTCGTATATCTTGCCTAGTGTACATAAGATAAAAATTTTTCTGTAGGATTCAATGCTGGTGAGGTTTTTCTGGTTTAGGGATTATAACTGAGCTGGCCATTTTTGAAAAAGTTGGAAAATACTCCAACCGAATACTTGCGTTGATAATTTTGAATAGCATCGGCAAGATACTTTCTGGAAATTGTTTGAGGCATCTCTTGTGGATGCCATCTGGGCCAGAGGCTGTATTTTTGCATTCGCTCTACAGTCTACAGGCCAACTATCTGAGTCTAATCTGAACGTTATAACCTTGTTTAAGCTTGCGCTTCTTCAAGGAGGGGCTGCTCCCTAAGCGGGAGGTTTTGGGGGGCTCGCGCAACGTCAGTTGCGAGTCCATTATTTTTGAGTGGTATGCGGCTGTAGCACGGGGACTTAGATAGTGGTAATAGAAAAATGAGCGCTATGAGAAAAAATTTACCTCCAAGGTAACAGGAAGACCTTAAAGTTTGCTCAACTCTGTTGTTGGAGCGAACTATTGTGCGCAGGACATATATTATGCTTTGAGATTGAACACTGTACTTTATTGGTGTTATGTTCGCAATTTGGTGAATTAGTGCTGACGGATAATCTACACTTTTCTTCATGCCTTTTCTGAGAATTGTCCTCTCAGTTGTCATAGCGTCGTTGGTTTGACGAGAATTTAGTGACGCGTAGACACACGCCTTGTATTCTAATATAGGTCTGATGAAAGTCTTAGGTGTGCAAGAGAGTTTTATTGGGGGTATTTCCGAGTTTTCCAGAGAACGCTCCCAGGAGTCTAGCTCTTTTTCTTCCCTGTCTAAGGCGCCTTTGATGTAAATGTCACAGTTGAGAAACCTACTAAAATGAACTCCCAAATAGGACACCCGAGTGTCTGTAATCAAGAGCTTTTCCTTGGAGGACTATCTGGTTCCTTCCAGTATCGCGGCGTGTGAGGGGATTTGAATAAGATTAATTGAGTTTTCGTGTCTAGTAGACCGCATCCTATCAGCTAAAGAAGTATCAACTTATGAAATTGTCGTGGGAGCGTTTTAAATAAAAGACCGGCAAAAATAATAAATCAACATCTGGAAACATTATGAATAAAAAAAGGAAAACAATAAGTACTACCACATTTCAACAAAATAAAGACAATACAATGAAAAATGGCAAATCTATAGATGATCCCACATGAACGACTAAAAAGAGCAAGCGAGAAACGAGAACAGCGATGTATTAAGCATATAGGTACACACATCAAAATAATCTATAGGATGCCTTATATTAATAACTTTAAATTAACGTTAACTGAAAATACAAAAATAAATTTATATTTTTAATCTTTTTTGTTGTTTTGTCGATTATTGTACTATTGATTTCCATGAGATTTTTTTTCATAATCACTTTGTGAGATACCCCAAAATATGATTCATGAGGTTACCCAGGCGAAAAGTTGTTCAATTTGTTTCAAGCAATTTTTGAAGTTATACTTCTATACGCGCGTTCGATATTGGAAATTTGTACGGGAGTGAATCTGCAAAATCATTACATATGTAAAATATGGGTAACAGAGAGACAGAAGATATATTTTCTCTCTCGAAATAAAAATGTTCCTTTTGTTAATATATTTAATATTTATTAATATTATTATTTTTGCATTCTGTTCA